ATTCCCCCTCACATTCTATCTATGATACAGCTCTTTCAGTACTTACGCATTGATAGGATCATAAGGTTTCATGCCATATGTCGGGTGTGTTTCAGCAACTCTGATGATTTTCTGGGTGTCGTACAGCAAGAAGCCACCAAACACAACGAGACCACCATATGTTGTGATGGCCTGGAGACCAGCTCCAACAGCTGAGGTTGCTGGGAGGAATAATGTTCCTTGGAAACAAAATTATTTCAAAGTAAGTTTGATASAAATTTCATACAATGAGGAACACAAGGACTAGATGACCCCATTTTGGTAAATACATTTTAATGATTTGATGTCTTTTGACATTGCATTGTTTACCCAGAAACCACATTCTTTTCATAAAGTCAAGACAGGAATAATGGACAGCCTTGCACAACAACAAAAAATAAACTGTGAAGTAATTGTGACTAAAGAAAGTAATTGGCATATTTTGGATGTTATTTTGTTGTACTATTATTTAGTGTTTTGTACTAATTTTTAATTAGAATATAATGATAGATTATAAGTAAAAAATACAGCATTAAAAGAGCAAGAAATGCTTACCACCATTTTCTCTTTTGTGTTACAAACATGTACACTTTAACTTACCAAGAGATGCCATAAAAACCCCTCCAAGTGCAAGTGCCAAAGGACCTCCCCAGGTAAGGAACTTGCCATCAGGAGCACAAGCTGCTGTGAGTGAGAGAGCCCCCACTACACCCCCTGTAACCACRGCAGCACGAAGAACCAATGGACCTCCAATGAGAACCATGGGTGCAAGAACAGCACCAACAAGAGCACTGTGCCCTAAAATACCAGAACATAATGAATACTGACCCTRTTTGCCATCTGCTGTCAACTCAAGTGGGAGCACATATGGAGAGCCCCATTCATTGCTTTGATCCACCAATTTTCGATACATGTACTCCATTTTCAAATTCAAAAAGCTCTAATTTTATTTGACAACAGGTTCTCTTACGAAAAGATCTCACCAAACACAAAAGAAAGCAAGAGAGAATGTTGTTAGCAAAATAGCGCTAACAATTTACATTTTCCCTGAGTTGAGGCTAACCCTGTATTCTCAGAAGGCTCATACATGTACCTTAAAGGTCTTATGGGAATACAGGGTTGAATTCTCAACTCAGAGAAAATGCAAATTTCAAGGTTATTATAAAAATGAAATTTTCTCATGCTCTCTTCTGTGTTTGGTCAGGTCTTTGAGAACCAGTTGACAAATACTCTTAAGTTCCAAATAATCGACGTATAAGTACGCTTATTTATTCTGGCAAAATATTCCACTCTATACGGCCTTATTCGGGACTGTACGTTTATTAATTTTCAGGGAATTTTTCTCTGTTCTTACCTTAATTGGTTATTAACAAAATCTGAAAAAAAAGTTCTGAAAAAGTCGCAAAAAATACAAACATTTTGTTTCCAAAATGAAAACAAAAACACGAGCAAACAGCAAACTGAGACCGCAAATCATCTGGTCAGCATTTCATCGCGATGGAGACAAGTTGGCAATTTTGCAAAAAAAGCTTGAAATTTTGTTTTTTCCACTCTATACTATTATTCCATCCTATACTATTATTGGTTAATTTGGATTTTTCCACTCTATTATTATGCTCTATATGATTATTCGGAACTTAAGAGTAAAGCAGTAGTTTTTTTTATAAAATAACTTTCATATTACGCGMGCTCTGATTGGCCAAAAAGCCATGTTTGATGAGAGCATAATACACGCTCGCATCATTTTTTCTCGTCGGCTTCTTTTTTCTCAGCAAGTTAGCTTGTTATTTTATAAAAGCTTCGCGTCGTGGTTTCCTACGCTTCTCTCGTGTTCTCTCCACATCCCATGTGTTTTTATCAGAGTATAATACACRGAAAACTGTTTTTTATTCCTTAATYAATTTGGAATGTTCYMCTCTATACTATTATTATGCTCTATATGATTATTCGGAACTTAASAGTAAAGCARCAGTTTTTCACTATGAAATAGTGAAATGTGAAATGKAGTATTTAGTGCATAATGTACTATGTAGTTYTTACCYGCCCAGGCAAGRTGTTTGGCATTAAGGCCAGGTGCATAATCCATACTCATACAGACAATTGAAGATGCTATCATGGCCACCATACTACCACCTACAACCTGAAAACAAATACTAAYTTATTAATAATAAATGCTACTCCAATAATTAATGATAGTCCATTGCAAATTTTGAATTATGTTATGGTACACAATGATAATACTCACATGTAAAACATCACAGATTTATAGTTAAGTGAAAGTAATGCAAACATTTAACTGTACACAGAACTGATATCTTTAATACAGTACTGCCAAACCCAACACTAGAAAATCTCTCCATTCTAGTATTGAATTATGAAGCAGCTTCACTGGGTTGTGAATCTGAATTGCTTCAACAATAACACTTTTTTCAATAATTTTACTCATAAATGACTTACCAGAAGTGGACTAGATCGCATCATAGTATGCACTGCCCTACTGCGACTGACAGCATATGCAGACATTGCAGTTATAGCCAAACTCCCAGCAAAATATCCATAAGTAGATCGAATACGATCCTTGACAACCTGGGGCCATATAAAAGATCGATCAATGGCACCAATGTTACTAGATAAACCAAGTCCATAGTAACACAATGCACCGACTCCACCAAGAGCTGCACCACCAACCACTGCACGACCAACAGTTTCAGCTACAAATGAAAAAGAAAGTTTTGTAATCTTGATTCTACATTCAGGAAATGATCCTCAGAATGTTTTTTTTTTGTCTCAAAAAATTATTATTACCCATTTATCAACATGATTAAAATCTTTATTTATGAAAAAGTCTAAAAATTGACATAGTGATTTCTTTAAACAGGCTTTAAACAAGAATGCATTAGTGAGCATTCAATAATAGCAATAAATGACCATCTATTTTCAGCTTAAAGTCTTCCTAACCTGTTATTCCAGGAGCCTTCTCCACAGCATCCCATGTTCTCCATCCGTTTCTTGCTTCTGTTTGAAAAGCTCTTCTCGTTTGTCTCGAGCTCGCGTTTATCTTACAATTCTGGCTAAGTGCTCGCAAGCTTTTTGTTGAACATCGAGTAAAATGTCGAAAACTTAACATCCTTCAATAAATTGCAGTTAAAAATCTCAAAGATACTTTGAAACTAACTGGATATTGTTCCTTTTTCTGCACTGTCACAGACAAATGTCGACAAACGCAATTTAATTTGTAATTTCAACATAACACATGCTCTAAGTTGGGAATACCGCTGAGAAAAGAAACAGGGATCCCAAAAACATTTTTTAAGAGATTTTTTTTTTCAATGTCATCTTTTTAAAAATTGCATTACATTTTTTTTTTTTTTGATTTGCACTACTTTACGAACTTAAATATTTGTATCGTTTTTGTATCTCTTCACAAACTACTCTCTTTGTTGCTGTCGCGAGCTTTGTAGATTGCGTGACATGTTTGCYCGTGACAGAAAGTGTCATCTCTTCAAGAAAACTTCATGTGACAACGTCATTTTGAATTCAAGAGTAAAGCACTGAAGGAAACAGAGCGGGGAAAAGTAACTGCCAAAGGCAATTATGAAAACGTCTTCAAATTATATGGTCGTTTTTGGTTGATTGTATGTTGAACAATACCAGTGAAAAAGATATATGCAAATTTCTTTACAAAACTTAACCATTGTTTATAAGTSAAATGTTCCGACAGACTCGTATCGCACTGAACCTAGATATCTGTCTAATGTCTGGCAATTTTGCAAATTGTCCTAAAACTTGTATTTATAAAGTCAATAATTTCACAAAGGAGTTGGCAACTGTAAACAAAATTCGATCTCACAATGAAGAAGCATTTCATGACATTTTGTGGTCCATTTTGAGCTTTTTTATGATGACACAGGAAGTGATGAGACGATCCCACATGATGTCACTGTAATTTGGTCATCTAAATGCTCAACGATACTGAACAGCGTACAACTATTGCCAAATGATCACTAATCATTGTATAAACACAACAATGCCAAGAATTCAAAACATTGCTCCCACTGCGCCAAGTACTCTTTAAGGGAGAAGGAAAATATTGTTGTTTTTGTGCAGTGTTGTGTGTTATGACTTTTTAAGGAAGATTCAGACAGGTCGATCACAGTGGATGAATTTAACTTATCTAGTCATTTACAGTCAATTTTTCGGCTAAAAATTATTACTGATACCCTTTGTTATGAGGTGATTCGGTCTCCTAGGTAAATAAAAAGAACCAATGACAAGCGAGTTGTGTTGGTTCATCATTGACAAGGTGCGTTACGTTAAGCTGGCCGGGTTTATGATTAGGCATGATATTTGCATTGTATTCTGAGCCCTGCTGTTTCGGTCGAGTTGTCACTCCCCTTGGCTTCGMGTTCGGAGTCATTTCAATCTCCCTGCCAAACTCGTAACAACTACATTCTTACTACTATTTTAGTGTCACACTTCTCACGATGGCGCTTGCATCGATTAAGCAGAAGATGCAGAAAATCAAAGATGACACTGATGCCGCTGATGAGAGGGCATATGAAGCCAAATCTCGTTTGAGAGAAGTCGAAGAGGCAGAAGAAAAACATCTCTCTGAAGCAAATTCGATGAGAAACCGTTTACAACTTCTAGGAGAAGAACTTCGTAAAACTGAGGAGAGACTTGCCGAAGTCGAAGAAAAATTGTATAATGAGAAGCACAAGACAGAGACACATGAAGAGATTCGTCGTGGTCTTGAGGATTWCGAAATGGAAGGTGATGAGAAAATCCAAGATATGGAGCAACGACTCAAAGACAAAGAGGTCGTTTTGAAGGAGGGTACTGATCGTCTTGTTGAGGCGCAAAGGAGAGAGGTCGTCCTGACAAGAGACTTGGAAAAGGCCATCGCAAGAGGAGACGACTTCGAAGCACGAGCTGATAAGCTCACTGACACCTTGGAACAGGGTGCCGAGCAAGTCAAGGTTTTGGAAGAAACTGAAGAAGAAAAGTTCGAGCGTGAGGAAGAGAACGAGGAGAAGGTGAAATTTTTAGAAGAACAAGTCAAACAATTTGAACAACGTTATGACACTGCAGAGAGAGAGATCCAAAAGCTRCATCGACTTTGTGATCAACTGGATACCGAGATCGCGCATTACCACAACTTAACGAAGGAACAACAAGAGGAAATGGAAGCTGCTTTGGCCGACCTCGACTGCTTCGACGATTGATCTTAAATTATGATCCTTCAATATACTCAGGTGAAGCCATTTTGCCTGTTTAACATATGCGAAATACTTTGAATTTCTTCAACATACTTGTATGCAACTAGGAGCAGCATATTTTTATACCCTTGAACGAACACATTTGTGTAAGTAACTTTAGTTTGGATATTAATTCATGAAATGGCTAGTATTATTCGACATAAACATTTGAGGACTAAAATTATTTTTGAATTGATTACGATAGATTTATAAAATCGCTTAGTCTTTTTATAAAAGAAATTGTTAAGKTCGGTCCGTAGTAAAACAACGATATGTGATTTGTTTACAATGAAGTATTTATATGTAAAGATTTGTTCGAGGTGTGCCTTGTAATAYACACCATTGTAGATCGATAACATTGAGTACTACTATTTGATTCAAAATATTTAATACATTCTTTAGTAAAAGTTATTACATTTTGGAAAATAATAAGCTTGTTATTGTTGACCATAGATAATCGGTCGTTAACCAAGGAATACCATTTTTGTTTATATTAATATGTCTACTGGCTGTACAAACGATGCATTGAGTACTGACACTATTACGTGTGAAATTGACACATCGATCAGGCATTCTATGAACCACAACCAGCCTCCCTTAAATTTCATGAAGTCTTCTCAGAAACTCAGCTTGCTGTCAAATAATCCTTAACTGCCATGATTTCCAAGACTCTATCGTTGACCTAAATTGTATAAAGAAAATTCCTACACTTAAATATATGCTTGTTCATTTACTGACACAATTAACTCCGTGACGTCGTTGTATTGTGGCTTTTTTTTCCCGCTCCGGTGTCTCGTCTGGTCCGTCTGCGGTCTTCTGAAAAACTGATGACATCGACTGTCACTACACATTTTAGATCTTGTCGAAATCTTGCGCCTCACGGGAAGATGGATATAATTGTAGCGTGGCCGGCAGTAATAATAATAATAATTACTTAATAATTATGATTAACCAATAGCAAAGGTTACGAGAAAGATAAGGATAATAAAAATCTTTAGATAATAGCGAAAAGATAGTAATAATAATAATAATAATAATAATAATATTAATAATAGCTATGGAGTCATCACATCCGTGAAACTCTTATTAATTGTTAGTGTTTAATAATTCAGTTGAAACAAAGAACGAGTTAGAAAGTAATAAAAACAATAGTTCCATTTTTCACATAAGAGTAAGGGAAATGTAACGACTCGATTGCTCAAAACTCATCGACATCAGTTTGTCTCATATACAGTTAATCAGGACCAGCGTACCAGACTTTGGTTGGTTGTGACGTCACCGAAACAAAATGCGAATATTACATGACAAACAAACGATACTTCTCCAATTGCACTGTCTTATCATGTCTTRATCGTTGGAGGTCACAGTCGTTCAAACTGTTCTTAGCTTCCTYGGTGGATTCCGGCCAATACGCCTTTCCTAGAGTCGTCACGATGGCTAGTTAAGTTTGCTTGCCTAGGCCCGTTTACAATTGCGATTGTTGCAGCGCGATAATCGCCACTTTGCTACCGCGCAACTAAAATGGTACGTGTAAACAGTCCTGCGATTGTTGCGACGATGGAAAACCGTGGACCGCGGAGCAGGGGGGCTGGGCTACAGCCCCCCAATAATTTTTCCGACATTTTGAATTTTCTTAAATAAAGAAGCGAAGAGCCTCCTTATGAAATTTCACCATATATATTCTATAAAAATTGTGTAAAAGCTGAGCGTGAACAATTAAAATTGAAGCTTTTTTGCGAAGCCTTTATGATTTATTGATATAACGCTGACCGTGTGTGCGGTAAAAATTGATAACGCCTCAAAACGCTTGAAATGACATTTCCGAAAGTKAAGATTTCAAAACTGAGTTTCCGAATCCACCTAATACCTCCCTCGTCGTTGTACTCAAAACTATTTTGTAAGCACGTTTTTGCATTTATTGAGGCAGACTTTTGATGCCCRCTTCAACGTATTGCCGCCATGTTGAAATGATAGGAGTTGAAATTAGTCCATGATGGCGACTATTCCGGACTTACAGCAGTCTGAGAAATATTTCATTTTTTACCACACTAGTGTAAATTCTCRCGCGCTGATTGGCTGATTAGAGTGTGTCAATAAGAGGACATGCAAACTTATACAAGAAAGAAAATAATTACTTTCGCTAATGTTTAGACTTAAATCAGTCTAAAGACAAATTGCACACGGTTCTTTGTTGTATGTCCTTGTATTGACACAATCTTGACGTCATAAAATGTTCAAAACTTTGCATTGAGCCCACTTGAGTCAACTTGAGTTTTGAACATTGTATGCCAAACGTCAAGAGTGTGTCATCAATATTAAAGAGGGCATACAACTAAACCGTGCACAATTAGTTTTAACAAATATATACATACTATCTAAAATATTTATTCCTAGAAATGGCGCTTACAATATGTTTTCAGATGCCAAGAAATGTGCGACAATGTTTATCAAGATACTGMGAGTCAGTTGTGTTGGTAAGAAATGTTGCAACAGCAACAAAAAATCTAGAATTCATACACACGCGTTCGAGCATGCATCGGCATGAATGATTGAGATATGATTATGATTAAGATATAATATATAACAATTATAATTACAGTATATTAATATTTAGTATTACCATACTAGTGCACTATTGCAAATCCTTTGTTCTGATTGGCTACTCTATTCGGGGTCTATTTTCAATAGTCCTCGACTAGCTGACAAGCGAAAAGCGACAACTTTTTTCGTATTTTTAGCAAAAAAA